CATCTGGGCCCCAATGGGGGTTTACTTTACTGTATGGAGTATCTCTATAAAAACCGTGACTGGTTGGCAGACAGGCTAACGAAACTCAAACGCGATTCTCCGAAGACTTATGTCTTATTTGACTGCCCGGGACAGGTTATAATCTTGGTTTTTTTTACCCTGCCCTTACTAAGTTAACGGTGACCTGCTTCTGGCTACGTCTTTTCTGGTTGTCTGCTCTGCTTCCAACCTCTTAGGTCGTTTTATTTAATACAAACTGTGTGTTCCATTTCCACCCTTGCGTACGCCCTTTGCCAATTGTGTACACAAAACGCATTTGACATTAATGTCTTCATCACTTAATGTCTTATTTCGGCATTTCCTTACTCAAAAAGTTCATTTTTCCCTAGTCGCTGTGTGTAAGATGCAACGTCACATAGCACAAGATAGCCTCAGTATCTTTTTTATTTATATTCGATTGTTCTTGTCTATCGTTTTTTCTGCATGCTCCTTTGGGCACCATCGTCATTGTGCACTTCCCACGGCTTCTACCTGTCCTTTTTAGGTCGAACTTTATTGTGTCAATGGGGCATTCCGAAAGCTTTTGTTTTTTCTAACGCTCACTCCTCTCCCCACCAATACGACCCTGGGCTCGAAACAGCAGGATTTATCCCTTCCGGAACCATATATGGAAACTCCCAGTCAGTCAAATCTACTTGGGCTTGGTCTCCGACTGAGCAGCGTTCATTTGGTGGACTCATACTACTGTACCAGCCCGGGGAAATTTATATCCGTACTTCTTACCTCGTTGGTTTCAATGCTGCAGTTGGGACTGCCGCATGTAAACGTGCTCAGCAAGGTCGATCTGATTGAGCAGTATGCGCCTCTTAAATTTAACCTGGATTTTTTTACTGAGGTCCTCGACCTATCTTATCTAGTTGAACAACTAGATGTAAGTTTCTACTTCATAGACTTTGGTTATACATCATTTTCTTCGCTAGTATTGTTTTTTTTACTCATAGATCATAGTTAGTTCTTAATTCAAGGTATTCGGCGCTCCGACTTCTTTAAACGATTCGTAATTCCTTGTATACTGAACAAAGCTTAGCATAGTAAGGCAACAGACTAGTTTTCAACTCGTCGCTCAGTCCTCTGCTTCCCGGAGTTCAGTGGATTCTTACTAGGTGTTTACCTTACCTTAAGTCTTTCACGTTTCAGGACGTTCCGTTTTTCGCGAAATATAAAAAGCTGAATGGAAGGCTTGCAGAACTCGTTCAGGATACCGCTTTAGTCAATTTTCTGATTTTGGACGTCCAGGTATAATTTTTTAATTTCGCACTTCGTTTTAACTGTCATGCGCATGCTTAAGTTTATTTACAGTTTTAATTTTCACGAATAAGGATATCGAATCATCTGGGGATTTCTCCTACATTTTAGTCCACATAAAAATTGCATTTTCTTATAAGCCTGTTTCGTTGCATTTTTAGGATCGCACTCATCTCGAGAAAATAGTACGTCATGCTGACAAGGGCAATGGTTATGTATTTGGTACTGATGAAGAACGTACCTTGCAGTCCATGCTCTCGTGTGCATCAGGAGCAGAGTTTTCTAATGACTTGGTTTGCCTCGCCCAAGAAAAATACACCCATCAGAGTTCGAAAACTAAAAATCCACACTGATCGCCATTTGAGTGGACTAAGTTATCTAGGATCCGTCTCTTGTATATACTGTAAATAATGGGTTGCTTTCGATGGTGTGTTAAAGTTTTTTAATGAATACATGTGCAAAAGACTCTATCACACAAACACTCCTGTTTTCCCACCGAAGCGCTGCAGGATTTCACTTCCATCATTTTTCGTGTTGTAAAGGAAACACTTCGTGTGTTTTGTCATAATCTTCTGCAAGGAAAGACAAATATTTTAGAAGTCTTTTGATCAATATAAGCATCTAGTTGAGTTGCCAACCTCAGAATGTCAAAATAAATTATTTTGAGGCGCCTACCTTTACGCGACAAAGCTTCTTTTTGTTGGCAGACAAGTGTTTTGGTTGTAGGCTTGTCAGTTTTAGGTCTAAAACACCTGTGTTCTATGAGTCGGCCTACTCGGAAATGCTGTGGATAGCGCTGCTTATCCAGTGCACGAATTGCATCAAATTTCGTGAGGATAGTCTCGATCTTCAGAAGTCTGTCACGTCGATTAATCGCATTTTACCTTCTTCTGTAGTTTTTGAATGGACGGTTCTGCGATGGTCTCACTCAGCGCCACGCTACTGCGAATGAGGCTGACCTTGGTCGGGTTTGCGTAAAGATGTGCCTTTAGTTCTTGGTGTTCTTCATTTTCTCTTCTCACTTCCCTAGCAGATGTCGTCATAGATTCTTAGTACCTTGTGCGCCTTTCCACGAAGTACGCGTGAAGATAATTTAGAAATTCGGATGCCCCCCCAGCCTTACAGTGGATAATCCCGTGTATAAGCTCATGTGGTATCTTAACTTCGTGTTCCTTAGAAAACTGAAAACTAGTGACTCGTCAGTGTATACCTTTTCTATTGCACGCCAATTTTCCTGTCGAACTCGATAATTTGACCCGGCAACCGTTCTGGATACGATGGAGTTATCCTTCGTGCAACGGCCTAGTATAATTGCTACAACAGTTCCGTCGCAAAGTGACCTTTATAATTGTTTCTTGAGCAGTTGGTTACCATTTTAGTTTTGCTGGGTCGAGCGGTACGCCCAGTTCCGTCAGCCACCTCGCTGTTTCGCGTTCAAGTCGGGCCATTGGTCTCCATGCCGATCGTCAGCGTTGACGGAGCAGTAAAACGCTCAGTCACGCAGCTCAAGGTCGCACTCGCTCCCCTCGGTAGTTAAGCCCCTGGTAACTTGTTAACGATTGGATAAGAAACATGCGAATGGTCATTCCGAAATTTAACGTGCCCTAGAGGAAACGGAACAATAACCAGATATGTAGGCCAATGGATGGAAGGCGCGAGCAGAAGTAGGAAGTCCCAGCGAAGGTCGAGTTTCCTAGAATGCGTATGTGAGGGGGCAGACGCAACAAAAGATGGAAAAGTCAATGGCCAGATAAGACTGGTGCTGAGGAAGGGGTTGTATAATTCATGTACGAGCTACTGATTAAAAAATACATTCCTGAACTAAAACAGGTTGACCGCGATCACGAACAGTACACAAGTTACTATCGAGCTGGAACTTGTAAGAACATGGAAGTTTTAAAGTTGCAAAAATGCCCATAGCAGTATTCAGAAGACGAGTTGGTGAGCACACGTTATTTTCGGCAAATTCTCTTCAGGCCAGTACAGTTAGGTGGGAATACGGCACAGTCAAACATGCCAGTGATTGAAAAGTCGATTAAAGTTAGTCTTAAAATAAATGCAGGGTGAGATCGAAAGGGCGTTGAAAGCTGCATTTGATTAATTAGCCTTTGACATAGGAAGCGCAGAACCTGAATGAAGTTTTTCTAGGCGCATGAGGTCGGTTTCCGTAACCTGATTTCGGCCGCTTCAGCGGTTGCTAACAGGCGCTGGCCCAGGAGCTTAGGATAGCTCGAGGGACCTTGTAAATCACATGAAAAGTTTCATCGGGGTCCACACGATTCCATCAGCCAACTGCATATGCAAGAATGGCGCTGTTTATTCTCCTAGTTTCGCCTTTTGCCACTTATGCGGAGAAGTGTCCTCGTATTCTTTTGGATTGAATTATATAGGAAAGGGGTCCAGTCAAACACTAGACCAAAGAACTAAAGTTCTTTAATGAACCACCGACGGTCAACTGCAAAATAAACCGTGCTGTGGTCAAAAAGTTGGCTTCGGTACCACCATATTGACTGAACCTCATATTAAGAGTTCCTACTCAAATAAGGAGCGTCGCGATGCAATGCTTTTCTGCACAGGATGATAGCAGTTTTTTAGGCTAAGACTAACACTGCATCTAGTTTTACGTTCCAAGCAAGGTATTTAATGCGTTGCACCTAGTTGTCTCACTAAACTGATATGGACTGAAAAACTAGGTCCCGGAGCCATGTTAGACATCAGGTGCCCCAACTAAAATGATTGGTAAGCTCTTCATTCGGAGATGAGGGGGCAAGACATGCACATCCGATCATTCAGTGGAAACGTCTGTGAGAACTACGCAGTCTTCTTGAAGGCAGTTTTCTCGTTGTTTTCTCAAAATTGCCATCGTTCGTCCGTAGGTCAGGTATCAGTTCATTATTTTCAATTTGCCGACGGTTCTTTGAAACAAGCTGAATGCAAAGAGTGCAAACTCTGATGTTAATTTCCAGAATATTATGCTAGAACCAAGACAGCTTTCGAAGTATACCATCAAAGATGCACCCACTGGTTCGAAGAACGAAACACCCTGTGAAAAAAGGAATGCTGGTTTAAACAGCGGAGTCAAAATAATCAGACGTATCCTAGAGAATACTTCATTTGAAAAGAGTGGAATGGTATCCTCTTCTTCAACAGTCAGCTACAAAGCAAAAGAAATATAGAAAAGGGGATGCGTAATAGAACGCAACCTAAGCAGCTCGTGCCTATCGCACGTTGCATTTTAGATAGATAGATAGATAATTTTTATTAAAGACCCGTCGGGGTCCCATCAAAGCACGTTAAAATAAATTTGCATGCGAGTTTTAGACGAGGTAGGCCGAATCTTTACAAAATGCAATTCATAGTTTCTGAATTAGAAGTCTATTGAGAAACATGATGATTGAGGGGTGAAAAAAACTCCTCGGAAAAAGTTAAAAATGATTGGATTAATTTTACAGGAGAAAAAAATCCCTCTTTAAAAATAATAACAGAAAAAAGCGGGCAGGACTGGCCTGTAGGTGACGGTATATAACGGAATGTTTTCGGTCATCGTCAGGGTATCAACAAAAGTCCGCCTTGATGGGTACGAATGTGGGTCAGACAGGACTGGCTTGCAAATGGCATTGTATACGGGATTCACAATCGAGATCGTCTGGGCCGGATAGGTACGCCGCGTCAAAGAGGCCAGACCAGAGGAACCGAGATGCGATCGGCCACAGCACGCTTCGAGCTCAGCCGAGCAGTGAGGAAGGGAGGTACGACCGAACTACTAGTAGACAATGAATACTGAGGGTTCCGCCGTGAGCGTCGACAGGCCGCATGAGGTCGGAATGCGGGAGATGACATTAAAAACCGCGAAAATTGTCGCCATGGGGGGAGTGATAGCAGTGGATTTAGAAACCAATTCAAAACAGGGGTTTCTAATGATATAATTAAGAGTTACCACTTAATCTACCACTAAATCCCAGGAGGACCCTTCTCGAAGTCAAGAATCTGAGTGTTCGGGAATGAGACCGTTAACAGTGCCTTTATGCTTTCCGGTGTAAGATGGTTGCGTAATTTCGACTTGAATACCAGTAACTTAGGCGATAATCTAATTTCAGGCGGAAGATTATTCCAAAGGAAGGCATATTTGGAAGCAAAGAAGAGGGAGCGCTTAGATGTAGTACAAAGAGGCGGCGGAATCACCATGCAGGAGTTGCGCGTGGCATAAGACCGATCTCTCGGAGTGAGAGTGTCAATGTGCGGAAGACTGGAGCTAGAGTTGATGCGAAAAAGGAAGCAAAGGCCAGTTTCGAGTCTTCTAACCCACAAAAACTTAATGTTCGCCAGCTGACATCTCTGAGTATAAGAAATACTGGACGAATCTTGAGAGAACAGTTTCCGGGTGAAAACCCTCTGAACATTTTCGATTTTATTACGGTCGCAGGCGTTCATTAAACCGAAGAAAGGACAGCAATATTCGAGGACTGGAAGAACAAACATTTGATAAAGTCTTAGCTTCATTTCCGGAAGGAAAAAATTATGCGATATGAATCCACATATCTGCGCGGCTTTGGCAGAGATTCTATCTGCATGAGGTGATAAAGCAAGTTTATTTGTATAACTTAGACCTAGGTCCTTTATGGTGAGGCATTCTGAGAGTGGGTTGTTCTGAAAAATTAAGGGACCAGGAAGTCTGGCAGGACCAAAAGACATGAAACTACACTTGGATGATGAAAACTCCATCTGCCATGTCGGACCCCATCTGCTTAAGCGTAGTAAATCGTCATTAATTTTTTCAACACAAACGTTAGCGGTGTCCTTAGGGTATGAGTAAACACACTTGAGGTCATCGGCATAAGTAAAAGTTTGCGAATTTCCGAGTTCAGTCGAAATATCATTGATGCAATGAAGGAAGAGTAGCGGACCCAGAACCGTGCCTTGAAGTACGCCACTCGTGATCGAGTGAGGTGTCGAGTAGCTATTACCGACCATGACTTTCTGATATCGGTTGGACAGATAGCACCTGATGAAGTCGAGTAGAGGCGGCTGGATGCTGAGAGCTGCCAATTTTACTAAAAGTCGTCTATGGGGCACCTTGTCAAAGGGCTTGCTAAGATCAAAGTAAATAACAACCACTGACTGCCGCTCATTACGAAGAGAAGTGATTAAATTAAGAAAAGCCAAGTGGCATGTTTCGCAGGATCGTTCAGGTAAAAACCCATGCTGACTAGAGCTCAGAATCCGATTAGCTAGACAGAAGTCAAGAATTTCATTGAAAATAATCCTTTCAAGAAGTTTTGCTAGAGACGGCGTTTTGTGCACGCCCCGATAGTTATTAACATCGGACCGAGATCCTGACTTGAAAACGGGAATGATAATTGACGTTTTCCATGTTTCAGGAAAGAATCCTTTTGAAATATAAACCGAGAATAGATGACTGAGCAATATGGGAAAGTCGGACGCTTGTTTAATAATCGAATTCAGAATCCCGTCAGTTCCTGAGCAGTGGGAGTATTTCAAACGGCTTATGTGTTTCTTAATGAGATCTGAGGAGACATCAATTGTACTAATTGTCCTATCTGAAAGTGATCGAAAGAAAGGGACCGGATCGGACTCGGTAGCAAGGTGTTTTGCAAAGAAAGCACTAAACAACTCCGCCTTGTCAGTGTCATCGGTGAGGAAGACTTTGTTATCATTTAGCATGGGTGGAACTTCATGACCACGCTTAGAGTAGGACCGATGACGGAAGATGCTAGCGACGGATTTGCCAGGGTTCGAACCACTGAGAGCAATTGATTTTCTTTGCCTGTCGCGCGCTTGGCGCATCCTTGAGGCCATCTCAAAAATCTCTGTGACTCTAAGATGAACTGATAAGGAACTAGTGGATAGGTCACGCAGTTGTCGCCTCAACTTTTTTAGTCTGTTCTGAAGAAAATGAGGAACAAGAGAATCTGAAGAATTAGGCTTGAGATATCTACGCGGCACAAACTCTAGAATGTACTTGGAAACATTGGACATGACACCACGAAGAATGGTTACATCGCTACAAGTGAGGAAGCCACAC